GGTGTCCTCCAGTGATTTTGCTGAAATATTGTTGAAAGCAGTGTAAAACCATACTCACTCACACCTTCATCAACTGTATCATGACGTAATGGACTTCCAGAGTGATGTCGTACCATTCCAGAGTTACGTATTTCCCCTTATACGCGCCGGGTGTGCCACATGTTTACAATGGAGTTTTCAAATGAAATCCCAAATAATGGAGAATCTATATTTATTTCCGATGAAACACCGGGTCTCCAATAAGCGCTTGTCCCTATCAGAGTGCCGGGTCTGAGGAGTTTTCTGAATTGATAAGGGCCCGGGCACTTGTAAGAGAAATACGGTACATCACGGCTGTCTTAGGTCTGTCAGAATTCTTGTCCTTCCAGATTTGCTGGCGTTATGTAGTAAAGGGTATATCTGTAAATTTCAATTGGACACGACGGAGTTCAACGGTTTCAAACGTTGCAATCTTCGGTTATCGAATACTCAGTAACACCTGTTCTCTCAGGTGGAACATGCTCAATAAATATATGAATAAATACCACAGCATCTTATGATGGTAATAATCCCCAACTCAAGGTTGTCGTCACGTTTGTATCAATATAACCCGTCCGAAAGATATCTCCCACGGCTATGTGCGTGATATTAATACTGCCCTAATTTGAAATTCTAAATATTTAACAACCAGCAACACAGAGGTTACGCTGGGTGCTGTCTCTCATATCACAAGTTAACGACGCGCAAAGGGACTCTGGAACCAGTTTACACATACCAGTTAGGGTCGTCACATGTAAACTGGTCCCTGTCTTTCCGGATGCGCACGCATGCGTCGCCTTTTCGTTCTCTGGATAAGAACATGGACGGCATGCTCTCAGAAGAAGAACTGACTGGTGTTCTGCATTCTGACGGCGTTCCACTGATTGACCAGCGAGATCAGAGATCTCATTTCAAAGGTGGACCGCAGCAGAGATGGAAAACTGAACTACGAGGAGTTTTGAGTTTAATGCACCAACAAAAACAACAGAAAACATAACATATCAATGAAAGCCGTGTTTGATGGACACCTACAGTTTGGCATGGAAATGCATGGGGACCCGTTTTTGTAAATATCTCTTCATCCAATGATCTAATCGATCTCAAACTGTGCAAGTCGATGTTTTGTCCAGACAACCTAATCAATATTGTAAATCACCGATTTTATGCATTTGTATTAAAGAATCTGTCTATGTAACTGTCAACAAAATAAACAGCAGAACGCAGACGGCTTGCAGAGGGAGGGGAGCCAATGACCTGTAACAGCGGCAGTGTTGGGTCATAAAGGTCAATGCACGTGCAGTTCATGATAGTTACCTGTGCACTGCACAGTGATAGACCGTTTGGATCATTCACATTGACTACTTCTAGCTGTCATCATGAAAGCTTATTCAGATGATGCTAAACGTTTAATTAGAAATGTGTTGAATTTTTAAAAAAGAGAGCAAACATAGCAAACCGATTTATAAGGTGTCGGATTACATGAAACGTACAACTTTTGCTCTTGGCATGAAAAAGGACATCGTGCTAAAATTGTGAAAATAAACCAACAACCAATAAACAAAACCTTGTACAAAGAAAGGTAGGCATCAAAGATTAGATTCACTTTTGACATCAGGGTCATCAGCATAGCTGACCTACATTGACGGACGTTGACCTTTATGACCTTGCTTCCTCTGTTACAGAGTCATTGGCTCCTCCTCTGCAAAGCCGTCTGCGTTCTGCTGTTTATTTTGTTGACAGTTACATAGACAGATTCTTTAATTCAAATGCATAAAATCGGTGATTTACAATGTAGATTAGGTTGTCTGACAAAACATCGACTTGCACAGTTTGGAGATCGATTAGATCATTGGATGAAGAGATATTTACAAAAACCGGGTCCCCATGCATTTCATGCCAAACTATACTTCGTCTAATCGAGAAGGAAATTTAGAATAAGATAGGTATGTATTATTGATTACAGAAATAACTCTGCAAGGATCGGGTTATAGATCTTTCCAAGAGGCTTCTTAAGACCTGTCTGTTCAACAGCAGTGGATTGTAAACATGTTATATCTAGCATGAAATCTGTTATCGCTTTCCTGCACTTTGGTGTGGAGTTGTAGCGCAATATAAGAATCCATATAATTATCATTATCACAAATTACTTCACCTCGCTTTCCATTGCGGCTAATTGATTTGCTGCTGCGCAACTCAGTCTAACAGGCCAATCAGAACTTGAGTTACAAACCAACTACGATATTAGGTAGGCGATACCAAAATTCCCTATTGATTGTGATAGAGTTTGCTATAATTTCATAAACTGACTGGCACGCAACAGAAAGCCCTCGAAAAATCTTTGGATGGAAAGGATGTGTCTTGTTGTCCATTGAAACTGGCGGCTCCTTTGGTTTCTGTGGAATACGAGTTATCTCCTTACCCATTTCCTTTTCCCAATCGCTCCGTTTGATTGGTCAGTAAACAAAATCAAGGAATGTTGATTAATCAAGGGATCGCGGTAAATGTAGGTTTAGCTGAATTGTGAGCCTTTCTGAAGTATGGTGAAGATGATCCTTCTGGACGACAATGGATAACGGGCCAGCATCGTCCGAGATGTATTTGCAGTGACCAGTCAGACAGATCAATTGGTAAATGAATTATTGTGGAAACTTTATGCTGCTAAACTATGGTTGTTTTTGAAGGGCAACCACATACAACAAAACACGTCATTTCTCCCGATTAAGAAAAGATCCCATTTGACCATTCAGGTCCTAAACTTATGTAATTGAGGATACAAATACCATTTTCCATTTGACCTAGTAGTTGGAGTCAGACTCTGTTTTTGCGGTTCCATGTGAAAATAAAGGAGATGCTTCGAATATCAAGGTCATGTTATTCTTTCGAACAATCTCAGTAAATATTGGCTACGTAGATACTATCTACACCCGGCCAGAGTATAGTATTACCGTATAGTATTATCGGTAATACTATACTCCTCACTCACTCACTCACTCACTCATTCAAATAGTGGGCATATTACCGCCATATAGCGCCAATATTGTCGTCATATCGGACATATTACTGTCATATAGTGGATATGTTTCCGTCATATAGCGGACATATTACCATCAAATAGCGGACATGTTCCCCTGATATAAAGGTCATATTGCCAGTGTATAGTGGACATGTTTCACTCATACAGAGGACATATTGCGGTAACATAGAGGACATATTGCGGTAACATAGAGGACATATTGCCGACATATAGGGGACATATTGCCGAAATGTAGAGGACATATTGCCGTCACATAGAGGACATATTGCCGTCATATAGAGGACATATTGCCGAAATATAGAGGACATATTGCCGTCATATAGTGGACATATTGCCGTCACATAGTGGACATATTGCCGTCATATAGTGGACATATTGCTGTCATATAGTGGACATATTGCCGAAATATAGAGGACATATTGCCGTCATATAGTGGACATATTGCCGAAATGTAGAGGACATATTGCCGTCACATAAAGGACATATTGCCGTCATACAGTGGACATATTGCCGTCACATAGTGGACATATTGTCGTCATATAGTGGACATATTGCCGTCATACAGTGGACATATTGCCGTCATATAGTGGAAATATTGCCGTCATATAGTGGACATATTGCCGAAATGTAGAGGACATATTGCCGTCACATAAAGGACATATTGCCGTCATATAGTGGACATATTGCCGTCATATAGTGGACATATTGCCGTCATATAGTGGACATATTGCCGAAATATAGAGGACATATTGCCGTGATATAGTGGACATATTGCCGTCATATAGAGGACATATTGCCGTCATATAATGGACATGTAGCCGTCATATAGATGACATATTGCCGTCATATAGTGGACATATTGCCGTCATATAGAGGAAATATTGCCGAAAATAGAGGACATATTGCCGTCACATAGAGGACATATTGCCGTCATATAGTGGACATATTGCCGTCATAGAGAGGACATTTTGCCGTCATATAGAGGACATATTGCCGTCATATAGTGGACATATTGCCGAAATATAGAGGACATATTGCCGTCATATAGATGACATATTGCCGTCATATAGTGGACATATTGCCGTCATATAGTGGACATATTGCCGTCATATAGATGACATATTGCCGTCATATAGAGGACATATTGCCGTCATATAGTGGACATATTGCCGAAATATAGAGGACATATTGCCGTCACATAGAGGACATATTGCCGACATATAGGGGACATATTGCCGTCATATAGAGGACATATTGCCGTCACATAGAGGACATATTGCCGTCATATAGTGGACATATTGCCGTCATATAGAGGACATATTGTCAGTCATATAGAGGACATATTGCCGTCATATAGGAGACATATTGCCGTCATATAGTGGACATATTGCCGTCCTATAGTGGACATATTGCCGTCATATAGAGGACATATTGCCGTCATATAGTGGAAATATTGCCGAAATATAGAGGACATATTGCCGTCATATAGATGACATATTGCCGTCATATAATGGACATATTGCCGTCACATGATGAACATACATATTGCCTTCATATAGAGGACATATTGCCGTCATATAGATGATATATATTGCCATCATATAATGGACATATTGCCGCCATATAGATGACATACCGCCGTGATATAGTGGACATATTGCCGTTATATAGATGACATATTGCCGTCATATATAGAGGACATATTGTCAGTCATATATAGTGGACATATAGATGACATATTATCATCATATGGACATATTGCCATCATATATGGACATATTGCCGTCATGTATGGACACACAATTGCATCAAATTGCGGACGTGTGTGGTCATATGTACTTCACAAAATGAGTCCATGAGTGAGGCGATAGCAATATGAAGTGCTATCAGTGACTGATGACCTTCTCTCCAGGATACACGACATAACAGACACTCCATATAGATAGATAACACAACCCTATTAGTCTATGACCATCATCATATCAGTTGCCCTCGCGGTCTCCTATACCATCACACGACACAAATAGCCGCATCTTGTTGTATTCGTCCCGCCACCACCTAACATTGACGATATTGAACCCTTGTAAGCCCGAGATACACAGCTTCCACAATGGCCCATCTGACGAAACAAGAGAGAGCCAGGGTACACCAAGGTGTTTCTTGAGGTGGACAAGAACGGTGATGCATGCCCTCAACTTGTCTCTGAGCTTGGTGCGCTGTGTTTGGTCCTCGGGTATCGTATGTCGCCGGCGAGAGTTGCGGGTGAGTTCTAGCCTCCATGTGATATTTCTCAACTCCTCCCTTCCACACGTTCAGCCTCCTCCTCCTCCTTGTTCCCTTCTATAATCAGCGTATCCAGTTATCTTGACGTTTAAAAAGACCGTCATAAAATATTGAGAATAATGCAGAATGCGCAGTTGAGTCATGCGCAATATGTACTATAGTCCAGTTTGCGGAGAAAACGTATCGATGAATTCCACCTCAAACAAAAGTGTAAAATCGAATAAAGTAAATTAAGATTATGAATCCTCATATTTATTTACTTAATTGAACATTTAACCAGAATTTATTCATCTTAGATAAAGTTAGTTCTAACAAACGATCATAGTTTCAAATCTCTTTATTTTTGTATTACAAGGGTATGCACAGCAAACGAAACACCGATAACAAGTTGGGTTGGTCTGGGATTAACGCCCATCGCGCACCGCACTCCACATTTGTTTCCACGGTCCCAATTACAGCGCTACCCCCTGTAATAAAACCAGTAATAACGATTTCAATCTATGATCGTTTGTTAAACAACTTCATCATAAGTTAAATAGAACCTGGGATTTAAAATGTTCAATCTGGCAAGGTAAAATTATGAGGACTCGCAATCTTAATTCCAATCTTTATTTGGTTTTAGGCTTTTGTTTAAAGCGAAATTCATCGGTACGCTTTCACCGCAAAACAGACTATACACTTGTAGTTCAGTTGTTTCCATCATGCGATATATCACTACATACCATGCGGTATGATAACCGTCCAACCTACGGCCAATCTCTGTATGAAAGAGACAATACACATCAATAATATTAAATTGCGCCAACAAAACGTATCATAGATCATCATGCCTGAATGATGTCTTGATGATGTCTGGATGTTGTCTGATGAAGTCTTGATGACGTCCTGCATGATGTCCGCATGATGTCTGATGTTGTCTGGATGATGCGGATGATGTCCGCATGAAGTGTGGATGACGTCCGGATGGTGTCCGATGATGCCCGGATGATGCCAAAATGATGTCTGATGATGCACGGGTGATGTCTGGATGATGTCCGGATGATGTCTTGAAGATGTTTGGATGGTGTCCGGTTGATGTTTGGATGATGTCTGGAAGATGCCTGGATGATGTCTTGAAGATGTTCTGGATGATGTCCAGTTGATGTTTGAATGATGTCTTGGAAGATGCCTGCGTGATGTCTTGGAAGATGTTTGGATGGTGTCTGGTTGATGTTTGGATGATGTCTGGATGATGTCTGATGGTGTCTGGATGATGTTTGGATGATGTCTGGAAGATGCCTGGGTGATGTCCGGATGACGTCTTGATGATGTGAGGATGATCCCTGGATGGTGTCTTGGATGATGTCTTAATGATGCCTGGATGGTGTCTGGATGGTGTATGGATGATGTCTGGATGATGTCTGGATGATGTCTGGATGGTGTCTGGATGATGTCTGGATGATGTGGATGATGTATTGTCTGGATGATGCCTGGATGATGTCTGGATGGTGTCTGATGATGTCTTGGATGGTGTCTGGATGATGTCTGGATGATGTCTGGATGATGTGGATGGTGTCTGGATGATGCCTGGATGGTGTCTGGATGGTGTCTGGATGATGCCTGGATGATGTCTGATGATGTCTTAATGATGCCTGGATGATGCCCGAAAGATGTCTGATGATGTCTGGATTATGCCCTTGAATGGTGTCCGTGGATGATGCCCGAATGGTGTCTGGATGATGTCTGGATGATGTCTGGATGATGCCTGAATGATGTCTGGATGATGCCCGAATGATGTCTTCATGATGTCTGGATGATGCCCGAATGATGTCTGGAAGATGTCTGGATGATGTCTGAATGATGTCTGGATGGTGTATGGATGATGTCTGGATGATGTCTGGATGGTGTCTGGATGGTGTCTGGATGATGTCTGGATGATGTGTGATGATGTCTGGATGATGCCTGGATGGTGTCTGGATGGTGTCTGGATGATGTCTGGATGGTGTCTGGATGATGTCTGGATGATGTCTGGATGATGTGTGGATGGTGTCTGGATGATGCCTGGATGGTGTCCGGATGGTGTCTGGATGATGCCTGGATGATGTCTGATGATGTCTTATGATGCCTGGATGATGCCTGAAAGATGTCTGGATGATGTCTGGATTATGCCTGAATGGTGTCTGGATGATGCCTGAATGATGTCTGGATGATGTCTGGATGATGTCTGGATGATGCCTGAATTGATGTCTGGATGATGCCTGGATGATGTCTCATGATGTCTGGATGATGCCTGAATGATGTCTTGATGATGCCAGAATGATGTCTGATGATGTCTGCATGATGTCTGGATGATGTCTGGATAGTGTCTGGATGATGTATGGATGATGCCTGAATGATGTCTTGATGATGTCTGGATGATGTTTGGATGATGCCTGGATGATGTCTTGATGATGCCTGGATGATGCCTGGGTGATGTCTGGATGATGCCTGAATGATGTCTTGATGATGTCTGGATGATGTTTGGATGATGCCCGGATGATGTCTTGATGATGCCTGGATGATGTCTGCATGATGTCTGCATGATGCTTCTGGATGATGTCTGGATGATGCGTGCATGATGTCTGCATGATGTCTGGATGATGTCTGGATGATGCCCTCGGTGATGTCTGGATGATGCCTGGATGATGTTGGGATGATGTCGGGATGATGCCGGGTTGATATCTGTATGGTGTCTGCATGATGCTTCGCTTATGTCTGGATGATGTCTGGATGATGCCTGGGTGATGTCTGGATGATGCCTAGATGATGCTGGATGATGTCCGTGGATGATGCCGGGTTGATATCTGTATGGTGTCTGCATGATGCTTCGCTTATGTCTGGATGATGTCTGGATGATGCCTGGGTGATGTCTGGATGATGCCTAGATGATGTTGGGATGATGTCGGATGATGCCGGGTTGATATCTGATGGTGTCTGCATGATGCTTCGCTTATGCCCGATGATGTCTGGATGATGCCTGCGTGATGCCTGGAGTGATGCCTGAACGATGTTGGGATGATATCTGTATGATGTCTGCATGATGCTTCGCTTATGTCTGGATGATGCGTGCATGATGTCTGGCATGATGCCCGGATGATGCCTGAACAATGTTGGGATGATGCGTGCATGATGTCTGCATGATGTCTGCATGATGTCTTGATGATGTCTGGATGATGCCCTCGGTGATGTCTGGATGATGCCTGGATGATGCTGGATGATGTCGGATGATGCCGGGTTGATATCTGTATGGTGTCTGCATGATGCTTCTGGATGATGTCTGGATGATGTCCGCTGATGATGCCTGGATGATGCCTGAATGATGTCTTGATGATGTCTGGATGATGTTTGGATGATGCCTGGATGATGTCTTGATGATGCCTTGATGATGCCTGGATGATGTCTGGATGATGCCTGGATGATGTCTGGATGATGCCTGAACGATGTTGGGATGATATCTGTATGATGTCTGCATGATGCTTCCGCTTATGTCTGGATGATGCGTGCATGATGTCTGGATGATGCCTGGATGATGTCTGCATGATGTCTGCATGATGTCTGGATGATGTCTGGATGATGTCTGCATGATGCTTCGCTTATGTCTGGATGATGTCTGGATGATGTCTCTTGATGATGCTGGGATGATGTCGGATGATGTCTGCATGATGCTTCGCTTATGTCTGGATGATCCGTGCATGATGTCTGCATGATGTCTGGATGATGTTGGGATGATGTCGGGATGATGCCGGGATGATGCCGGGTTGATATCTGTATGGTGTCTGCATGATGCTTCGCTTATGTCTGGATGATGTCTGGATGATGCCTGGATGATGTCTGGATGATGCCTAGATGATGTTGGGATGATGTCGGATGATGCCTGGTTGATATCCGTATGGTGTCTGCATGATGCTTCGCTTATGCCTGGGTGATGTCTGGATGATGCCTGCGATGCCTGGGTAATGCCTGAACGATGTTGGGATGATATCTGTATGATGTCTGCATGATGCTTCGCTTATGTCTGGATGATGCGTGCATGATGTCTGCATGATGTCTGGATGATGTTGGGATGATGTCGGGATGATGCCGGGTTGATATCTGTATGGTGTCTGCATGATGCTTCGCTTATGTCTGGATGATGTCTGGATGATGCCTGGGTGATGTCTGGATGATGCCTAGATGATGTTGGGATGATGTCGGATGATGCCGGGTTGATATCTGTATGGTGTCTGCATGATGCTTCGCTATTCCGATGCCTGGGTGATGTCTGGGTGATGCCTGAACGATGTTGGGATGATATCTGTATGATGTCTGCATGATGCTTCGCTTATGTCTGGATGATGCGTGCATGATGTCTGCATGATGTCTGGATGATGTTGGGATGATGTCGGGATGATGCCGGGTTGATATCTGTATGATGTCTGCATGATGCTTCGCTTATGTCTGGATGATGCGTGCATGATGTCTGCATGATGTCTGGATGATGTTGGGATGATGTCGGGATGATGCCGGGTTGATATCTGTATGATGTCTGCATGATGCTTCGCTTATGTCTGGATGATGCGTGCATGATGTCTGCATGATGTCTTGATGATGTCTGGATGATGCCTCGGTGATGTCTGGATGATGCCTGGATGATGTTGGGATGATGTCGGATGATGCCGGGTTGATATCTGTATGGTGTCTGCATGATGCTTCATTATGTCTGGATGATGTCTGGATGATGCCTGGGTGATGTCTGGATGATGCCTAGATGATGTTGGGATGATGTCAGGATGATGCCGGGTTGATATCTGTGTGATGTCTGCATGATGCTTCAGCTTATGTCTGGATGATGCGTGCATGATGTCTGGATAATGTCTGGATGGTGCCTGCATGCTGCCTGGATGATGTCTGGGTGATGTCTGGATGATGCTTGAATGATGTCTGGATGATGTCTGCATGATGCCTGAATGGTGTCTGGATGATGCTTCGCTTATGTCAGGACGATTCCTGCATGGTGCCTGGATCATGTGTGGATGATGCCTGGGGCGTTGTGTGATGATGTTGTCAATGGTCGATTTGAAACCCCCTGTGCATGATACTCGCATTATGACACAGGTGACGGTCTAAACACGTAGCACAAACTCGGGACGAGTCAGGACTAATCGCAATGATTGGGGGTGGAGTGGAGTGGAGTGGAGTGGAGTGGAGTGGAGTGGAGTGGAGTGGAGTGGAGTGGAGTGGAGTGGAGTGGAGTGGAGTGGAGTGGAGCGGAGTGAAATGATTGGGCTGGTGGGTGGTTGGATGAGTGAGTGAGAGACGTTTAGTTTAATTTAGTTAGTAATCCCGAAGATACACCTCTTTTCACCAACATTTACATGCACGTAATCTATTAATAAAATCAAAGCTTTGGCTCCGTGCTTGACACCATTTTCTTTATCACCACAGTGTGATTCAAACGTTCTGTCTCGTGTTGCACGCCCATGCACTGCTATACGTTCTCTGTACCATCTCTGATAGAACTTGACCCGTGAAGATCCGGGTTAGAATTGATCTTCAGTACTGACTGACTGAGTTTGGTTTTACGCCGCTTTTAGCAATATTCCAGCAACATCACGGCGGGGGACACCAGAAATGGGTTTCACACATTGTACCCATGTGGGGATTGATCTTCAGTAACCCATGCTTGTCGTAAGAGGCGACTAAGGGGATCGGGTGGTCAGGTTCGCTGACTTGATTGACACATGTCATCGTATCCCAATTGGGTAGATCGATGCTCATATTGTTGATCACTGAATTGTCTGGTCTAGACTCGATTATTTACAGACCGCCGCCATATACTAGTAGGTGAAATATTGCTGAGTGCGGCGTAAAACTAAACTCCCTCACTCACTGACAGAACTCCTCCTTTTCCTCCAGGCTCTCTTCACATCGCTGGACACTGACAAAAACTCCAGGGTGACCCTTGACGAGTTCCTGGTCGCCATGCCAACTATACCGCCCAAAGAAAGGAAGTAAGTGCTCTCTTATAGCGTCAATGAGTTCCTGGTTGTCATGCCAACGACAGTATCACAAAAAATAAGTGCGCACTTACAGGCTATGTGTTAGTGAGTACCCGATCGTCATGCTAACTATAGCACCACTGGGGAATTTCCCTTCTGACTGGAACTTCTCTTCAATTCAAATAGGTTTATTTGTTACTGTCAAAACTATGTATAGTCAGAGACTAAGCGTAAGTCTAACATGTGGCGTCAAGCCATAAATTTTTATCCAGATCGTGTTGACCTACATTTAGGTAGGCTAGTGCATGAGTATGAACGATTAGGTGTTCGGCATCTTTTCAACACTGGGGTACTCCTTCCCCTAAGACTAACGCTTAGTCTCTTAAAAATACACATTTTTAGAGAAACAAGCAACGATATTTGAACTGAAGAGGGATCCATGTCTGTTGCTTAAGGTCGCACTGACAACGGTGTGCAGATATAACGGAATGTAGACCTGACAATCCAGTGATTATCATTACGAGCGTCGATCTACGCAGTTGGGATACTGACTGACTGACTGAGTTTGGTTTTACGCCGCTTTTAGCAATATTCCAGCAACATCACGGCGGGGACACCAGAAATGGGCTTCACACATTGTACCCATGTGGGGATTCGAACCCGGGTCTTCGGCGTGACGAGCCAACGCTTTAACCATTAGGCTATCCCACCGCCCCAGTTGGGATACGATACCATGCATCAACCAGGTTAGCGAGCCAGACCACCCGATCCTGTTAGTCATTTCTTACGGCAAACAGAGGGGTTGCTGAAGATCATTTCTGATCGGATCTTCACGTGTGAAAGTTTTAAACTCGCGTCAAAAAGGCATAACGGTTGGGGAGGGGTCGAAAGAAATTAATATGGTTCCGGGACAGGGACTTTATCCTCATTCCATAATTGTTGATCATGAATATGGAACCGCGTACAAGAACCCATAGCGATTTCAAAATTTTGAGATTTCATAGAGCGTCAAAAATTGACTTGCCGTTGCATGCGTTTGTGAGAATGCCACCGGGTGGCAGGAAACGCTCTCCTTTTCGCGAACACATAGTACCATGACTATTCTATCGTGATTATTAAATTGCATACTCAGGATATGATAACAAACTCTTAAGAGAGTGAGTGAGTTTGGTTTTACGCCGCACTGAGCAATGTTCCAGCTATACGGTGGCGGTCTGTAAGTAATCGAGTCTGGACCAGACAATCCAGTGATCTATAGCATGAGCATCGATTTACGCAATTGGGAACCGATGACATGTGTCAACCAAGTCAGCGAGCCTGACCACCCGATCCCGTTAGTCCCCTCTTATGACAAGCATTGGTTACTGAAGATCAATTTTAACCCGGATCTTCACGGATCAGAAACTCTTAAGAATATGGATCGAGTTTTGCCGCTTCTGCAACACACCCGTACAAGACCCCATCCCAAGAATTAAATGATCGGTCTCGAACTCCAAACTGTCAGTACAGTGATATGTTATACAAAAACGTTTTTGTGTTTTTCTACATTGTAGGTGCGCAAACCTCAGACGTCTCTTTCGCAGCCTCGACACAAACAAAGATGGCGTCTTGTCAGTTGACGAACTGTCTCATGTCATGGCATCAGCTGAAGTTCCCCTGAGCCGGGAGGAAACAATGCAGCTTATAGCTCAGGTAGACCAGGACGGAGACAACCAACTGAACTATGAGGAGTTCTTGGAGCTGATGGAATCGAGTAGTAGAAGATGAATGAACGTCGGCCACAGCCTCATCTACATTTCATACAGGGCTAAACATGGACATCATAGAATTTGTGGATTTTATCATGGAACGTTATTTATGAATTATAAAAATAGAATACGTCTGTCGGTACAGTTTGTAGGCAATACACTTTTTACAGTGAAACATGAACATCATAGAATGTGTGGATTGTATAATGGAACATTACTTGGGAATTCGAAAAAATATTACGTTTGTTGGTACAGCGGGTAGCCAATACTCTCTTTTACAATGACACACGAACATCGTTGTATTGCTGATATTCATAATGTAACTTGATTTGTGAATTCAGAAAAAAATAATCAGTTCATTTTGTAACTAATGTATTTTTATGGTGAAATGTACGTTACCATGGTTAACTGCATCCTCGATAACTCTCCACTATACCCTGGATGATTTTATTACCTCCCTTGGCCGGCTCCGCATTCTCACAGTAGCCAATCAGCTAAGCCGCCGTTACAGCCGAGCTTGCCATTTTGTTCGCAGTGCCACACAGATTTTTCGGGAAATAATAAAGACAAATTCACAGATGTGAAACTTTAAAAACTATATGAAAGAACTCCTTCTACTTCTTTCAGAGTACCTCTGCGTCAATTGTGTTGCCAAGTTTAAACGGTTAGATATTTTGAGCAGCGAAAGTGAGTTGTGATCGGTTCGCTCAACTTCCCAGCGTAGTCACCTGATTGGATAAAAAGCCAGCCAAGGGAGGTAATAAAATATTCGCCCAAGCCGTGGATGCATCCAGGGTGTAGTGGAGAGTGATTATCGAGGATGGGTTAACTGAATAATCGGTAAAGTTTGTCAACAACACTACATTAACGCTACAATAGTACATAATCGTTTATGAACAACAACACACACACACACACACACACACACACACACACACACACACACACCCGAACTATGTAAAAACGTGAAACAACAACAAACAACAACTATTTTATATATACAGCCTTTTTCTAGGCTAGTAATAGCTGCCCTAAAGCAAAGCGATTCCGTGCTGAGTTTAGTCCCTTATTCGTGTCAGGATTTGCTAATCGTGGGTTCGAATTCTACAGATGTCTGTATAATTATCCTTGTTCAGATTATACAAAAGGTCTACGTTAAGTTCCATTCTCGTCGCTCTAGACTGTCTATTACATTAAGCTGACACGTCAGACGTAGCTCACATGCATTTCGAGGTGACGAAAATTACAATTCACTCACTGAATCTTAATCTTGATAATTTGAATTCTTGATAACTTGATACACTCGTCATTGTCTATGCACTGGGCGCATGCGCTCACGTATACGCACACACGCACAAACACAAACACACTCAGCAATATTCATACTACGGCAGTTTGTAAATAATCGAGTCTGGACCAGACAATCCAGTGATCAACACCATGGGCATCGATCTATGCAACTGAGGTGAGGTGAGGTGAAATGTGGTTTAACGTCGCGCTTGAGAATATTTCGCTCATATGACGACGTGCATGCGCGTGTATGTGTATGTGCGGCTGCTTGTACTAGCCCAGACTGAAGCTGGTTTTATAGTGCTAGCCCACTGAGATACCAAGCCGCAGTGAAGCATGAATACCCCACCCAGACACAGTATACTGACTCCGAGCCGACCAGTCCTTGTAGTACCCATTAATGCCGAGCGCCAGGCAGGGACCAACAAGTACCATGTTTTAACGTCTTTTGGTATGTCGCGGTCGGGGATCGAACCCGCGGCCTTCCGCTCTCCGGGCGGACGCTCTAACCACTACACCACGGAGGCGGTCTATGCAACTGAGATACGCGCACGATGGCATGTGTCAAGTCAGCGAGCCTGACCACCCGATCCCGTTAGTCGCCTATTACGACAAGCATGGGTTACTGATGATCAATTCTAACCTGGATCTTCACGTGTAATATAAAGAATAAAAACGATATCAAACGTTACTTGGCTGACAGCAGGACGATTCTCTGCACATGTATGGTCCAAGACGCAGCTACAATAACGTCATCAAATACATCGCCATTGACAAAACAACACTTACTTCATTTTAGCCATTTCAACAGGTCAGGAAAGGCCTGACGTACCATAAGATCAAGAATCGTTTAAAATGGCCATAAGTATGCATAAGCGTAACCTCAGTGGTTACTAGTGAAAACCGGCGGTGGGGTAGGCAAAGCGTTTGCTCGTCACGCAGAAGACCCGGGTTCGATTCCCCACATGGGTACAATGTGTGAAGCCGATTTCTGGTGTCCCCCGCCGTGATATTACTGGAATAGTGCTAAAAGCGGCGTAAAATTAAAGTCACTCACTAACTAGTGGAAACCCGCATTATGGCACGAACTCTACACCATAGACGAGACAATAGACTGCCCAGTTCCGCGTTTGCCTGTATTTAACTTATTACGGGGGAAGTTTAATATTTGTCAAGCTTCCGTACTCACTCAGTCCAGGAAGATAAATCTGTTAATGCGTCTTGTATCAAAGCTGACATTACAACAGTTGTTCCCTGAGTTGACAATGGCGCACCTGACAACGAGAGAGAGAGAAACTCTACACTAATATATTTCTCAAATATGACACCAATGGCGACGGCTGGCTGAACCTAGAAGAACTGTCTGCCCTTTGTAAAGTTCTTGGTTACAAGTTAACTCAGTCTAAGATACAGGTAATTTACTCATTTTTCCCAAGTCCATCACTGTTAATGGCGCGTGCATACGTTGATGAGAATTTAGAGAATCTCATCCTTGTGGGGACTGTGCTGTAATGGTTAAAGCGTTCGCTCGTCACGCCGAAAAGCCGGGTTCGATTCCCTACGTGTGTACAATTAGGAGATAAACATGATGTTTATCGACATTGTAAACACAAAAGTAAACTAGAAGGTCCACACACGTTTTTGTGTCTGCACGCATTGACATCGAGTACGGGTACAGCAGTGAAATGTCATCAGACGGTCGTTTCGACTGTCTCCCATGGTAGCATCTGGAACTGCTCATTTGTGACGTCATTCGGACTTTACGTCACAATATGATTTTAATGACGTCATCACAGCAGACGACGTAACAATACAATGGTGTGAGCGATGTTTGTATGTATTATATGCAGCGAATTTCCGGGAATCGAATACCATTTGATCACGTTTTTCAACCAATCAGATTAAAGAACACAGTGACCTTTGGTTTACAATGTGTGATGCTTGCTTTGATGCTTGTTCTACAAGGGCCCACGTGATTCATACTTATGTTTTCCCATCAGTTTTTACTTATATATTTTGTCATAGTCTCAGGCGAAAAGATTTTCTCATTATTATGGAATCAGTTGAAACCAGTGATAACTCTAGACATGTATGTCTGGAGGGCTCGGATTTCGGTAAACTCACTTTAGTCATGTTATACGCCCTTGATTGTCAATAACCGGAAATTATCCAATTTAACTAGTTTAAAAATATAGCAAAACATTCTAGGGGATTTTATCGAGAGCCAAAAATAAATAATGTGAAAAAATCTTCAGTACTTGGCCATAAGTGAGTCATCATTAGTGAAATTCCCATAGACTTGCATCTTACATAACTTTTGCAGGAATAATTTTCATAAATTTAGTTTCGGTCGAATTGCTTGCAATACTTATCTACCAGCTGGGAAATCATCTCCGCTACATACACATAATTTCCATTGAATTTTCCGATGATTACCGGTATTAGGAAAACTGCAACTATTTAAACAACATATATTAGACATACCAATCAGGTTTAACATGGCTGTCTATGGGATAGATTAAAAGTTGTACTTATATATGGTGCTTAATCAGGTGTCATTCGATAACAAATCAACGGAAAGATGAAAGAAAATCATGTACATGTAGTTGAAGATGATTTCCAAGATGTTTGGAAAATATCAAAATAAAATGACTCAATTTATGAAAATTATTTATGCAACAGTTAATTAGCATAGAAGTCGATGGCAATTTCTACTATATGTTATAATTGCTACACTGTTGCTAGATATTCAGGGCAAGGGGGTTATTATAAGAAAAACACATCAGTTGCTGAAAAAGTATCCAGTCTAAGAATACCATTCAAGGCCAGAATATGTATAGGTCTGTCCCTTACTGATTGATAGGCGTTACAAATGGGGTAGCCTAGTGGTTAAAGCGTTCGCTCGTCACGCTGAAGACCCAGGTTCGATTCCCCACATGGGTACAATGTGTGAAACCCATTTCTTGTGTCCCCAATCGTGATATTGCTGGAATATTGCTAAAAGCGGCGTAAAACTTAACTCACTCATTCACTTAATCAGTCCCACGTTACAAGCAGACCAACAGCATATAGTACAACCATATTGTACGTGGCTTGTGTTGCCCATGTTCAGCTTTCACTAAGTTCCGATAGGTAATAAACTCCACTCACTCAATTAGTTTTCATACACATGATTGTAACTTGGTTGCAGTCGCTTTTCAATTCTCTGGACTCAGACCAGAACTCGAGGGTGACCTTGGACGAATTCCTGATCATCATGCCACAACTACCCCCCACAGAGAGGAAGTAAGTGTTCTCCTACACGGTTAGTGGGTTCCTGGTCATCATGCCACAACTATCCCCACAGAGGAAGTAAGTAAGTGTTCTCCCTACACGGTTAGTGGTGTTCTCCTGGTTATCCTGCCATCAACTACCCCCCACAGAGAGGAAGTAAGTGTTCTCCTACACGGTTAGTGGGTTCCTGGTCATCCTGCCACAACTATCCCCCACAGAGAGGAAGTAAGTGCTCTCCTACACGGTTAGTGGGTTCCTGGTCATCCTGCCACAACTATCCCCCACAGAGAGGAAAGTAAGTGTTCTCCTACACGGTTAGTGGGTTCCTGGTCATCATGCCACAACTATCCCCCACAGAGAGGAAGTAAGTGTTCTCCTACACGGTCAGTGGGTTCCTGGTCATCCTGCCACAACTATCCCCCACAGAGAGGAAGTAAGTGTTCTCCTACACGGTTAGTGGGTTCCTGGTCATCATGCCACAACTATCCCCCACAGAGAGGAAGTAAGTGTTCTCCTACACGGTTAGTGGGTTCCTGGTCATCATGCCACAACTATCCCCACAGAGAGGAAGTAAGTGTTCTCCTACACGGTTAGTGGGTTCCTGGTCATCATGCCACAACTATCCCCCACAGAGGAAGTAAGTGTTCTCCTACACTATGCTGGTTAGTGGGTTCCTGGTCATCATGCCACAACTATCCCCACAGAGAGGAAGTAAGTGTTCTCCTACACGGTTAGTGGGTTCCTGGTCATCCTGCCACAACTATCCCCACAGAGGAAGTAAGTGTTCTCCTACACGGTTAGTGG